GGGGGGGGGGGAGGAACCCTGGGGGAGCAACAGTCCAGAAAATGTTGATTTCTCAGGCCCCTGCAAGCTCCAACCCTGGGCTTTTGCAAACATGACAGTAAGTGCTTCGTGTATCTTGGGCTGGGAAGATGGTCAGCGGGGAGAGCAATGGATGCTCTTGCAGAGGACCCAGGTTTGGTTCCCAGCACCAGACGGTGGGTCACAGCCACCTGTCATCCCAATCTCAAACCTCCTCAGGCACCAGACTCACGTGGGGTACACATCCATATATATACAGGCAAAAATGACAGCCATTCACATAAAACAAAGCTAAAGAAATCTTTAAAAAGAATTTACACCTGGTAGAGTTCAGCAGAGGACCACAGCCCAGATCCCCACCACTTTTTCACAGGAAAAAGCCAGGCATGGGCACGGACCTATAATCCCAGCACTGGGGAGACAGAGAAGAAACCTGGGGTTTTCTCTCCAGCCTGTCTAACTGAATCAGCAAGCTCCAGGCTCAGTGAGAGACCCTGCCTGAAAAAAAAAAAATAGATGATTGAAGAATTCACTAGATATTGACTTCTAGCCTTTCTGTGCAGGCATGTATACACATGTACACACACACACACACACACACACACACACACACACACACACACACACACCTGGTTTACTTTTCTCTGTTCTTGCCCCCTCCCCACTTTTCAGAAATCAATCAGAGCAGCAGAGGATATTTGGGGGGCCTGTTGGCAGCAAATGCATTTCAGAGTCACCCAGACTGGGTTCAAATCCTGAGTTTAGCCATTATGTGGCTGAATGACATTGCTGGGATCTGTTTTCTCATCTTTAAAATGGGAAGAAAAGTTGCCTCCTAGGTGAGTCTGGTCATCAAGTGCCTGACACTCAGTAACCTGGCTCTTACTATTTCTTTATCTTCCTCCCTCCCTCCCTCCCTCCCTCCCTCCTTCTTTTCTTCCTTCCTCCCTCCCTTTCTTTTTTTCATAGAATTCACTAGACAGGCTGGCCTTGAACTCACAGAGATCCTCCTGCTTCTGCTTCCTGCATGCTGGGATTAAAGGCGTGTGCCACCACCGCCCACTTAGCCCTTCTAATTCTTGGTTCCAGACAGAGGAGCATTCGCCTCCAATGACCCGACATGGTTCTTCCCTTCCGCTCTCTTTCCCTCGCCCTTTCTTCCTCTTTCCCCTTCTCCCTTCCTTCCTTTTCTTTTTGGGGGACTGGGCTTTCTGCCTCCCCAATTTCACAACTTCCTCTGCAGCCCGCCTGGCTTCCTTGTGTGTGGTTTGAACCCAGCACCTGCATCTGCCACCTCAGCTGATGCTCACTCTTCTGTGACTGCAGTCAGCCTGCACTTCTGAGGTCCCCACCGTTTATTGAGTGGATGCCCTACTGTGTACCAGGCAGCTGAGAGTTCCCTCCACATCCTCTCACTCAGCCCTGGCAAACATGCAGATGATAGATGGAGCCCCACATCTTAGAGGCAGAGGTACATGGATCTTGGTGAGTTCAAAGCCAGCCTGGTCTACAGAGTGAGTTGCAGTACAGCCAGGCTACATAGAGAAACTCTGTCTTTAAAAAAATACATGAATATATATATATGTATATATATATACATATATGTATACACACACATACACATGCACACGCACACACACATAATGGTAGCAATATTTCAAATACCTCACTTGCTGTAATTGGCTCCATTTCTGGCTATCCGTGCTCCTGAGATTATTTGTGGCTGTCGGACTTGTGAGGAGAAATTCCAGTCTAGTGCTGTGTAGCTCTTCCCAAGTCTGTGTTTGGTGACCGTGCCAGAGCAGGGAGTACTTGTGGAAGTTCCCACATGGTACTCATCAAGTTCCCTTTGGAGGACCAGGCCTTAAACATTTTAGCACACCATTGGACGCAATTTTGACAGTAAGTCTCTGCCCGCCTCTTTTGCTTTGTTTTATTGGTTCTGCGGAACCCAGAACTTCATGGGCTCCAGGCAAGCGCCCTAACCATCGAGCAACACAGCCCAGCTCTGGAGGCCCCTCTTCACAGACTCAGCAATTGACACTCAGGAATGTTAAGTGATTTCCCTGGGGTCAATGATTAGGAAGAGTGTATGTGTGTGTGTGTGTGTGTGTGTCTTGGGAGGCGGGGAGGCAGCCAGAATGTGATCCCAGTTCGCGTCTCACAGCACAGACCTGCTACCTGTTGAAAAATAATAAACAAACAAACAAATGGCAGGTAGTCGGTCCCTCCCAAGCAGTATATGCCCCAGCCCTGTCCGGGGTCTGGTGGTTAGAAGCAGGAAGTGATGAGGGCGCCAACCAGACAGAAGGTCTCTGATTCAGAGTGAAGAGTGTGGAATGTGTGGCCCGGGGAGGGAAGGGGGAGACAGCAAGATGACAAGCTCAAGTTTAAAACCAACCGCGATCTCATTCCGAGTACTTGAACATCCAAGAGCTGGCGAGCAGCCGGCCAATTAAAAGCAATTTCATCTCTAGCGCCTCTTTGAGAGTTATTTAAATAAGACTTAAAAATTAATCTCTCATTTATCCCCAGAATAAAACAACATGCCTTCCTCCCCCTTCAGCTGAGCCACTTGATTCAAAATGACGAGGTGTACTGTGAAATTAACCTTATTAATCCCAGACCCGAGCGCCAGCTCTTCCCCGGCTGCACAGACAGACCTGACTCAATCCCTTGCCTCTGTGCTACATGAGTTTTTTTTGTTTTTTTTTTTAATGTAGATTCAAAGCCCTTCTTGTGATGGAAGGAAACATCAGATCAGTAAATGTAAGAAGCAGCAGAGACCCACCAGTTGGTAAGTATCATTTGTAGGGTGTTTCGGAGGGCGGGGAGCATGGCCTGGGCATCCTGTGACCCTTGACCCCTGTTCTTGGGAACTTTCTAATGCTAGTGGGGATTCCAAGGCTGGCAGACAGGCAGGGAGGAAACACACACACACACACACACACACACACACACACACACACACACACACACCAAGGGGCTGGAGAGATGGATCAGAGGTTAGGCGCTGGGTAAGTGTGGTAGCTACCTGTCATTCCAGCTTCTGGAGGTTGAGGTGGGAAATCCCCAAGCAAGCTACCTCGGGAGACTATCCGCTCAGCTCAGTGGAGTGCTAGGCTTGATTGACAGACCCTGCCTCAGTGGAAGAACAGTTGGGGGTGATTCCTGTTGTCGACCCCTAGCCTCTGTGCACACACTCATGTATCCACACCCATGTGAACACACACTCTGTGTGTGTATCTCTCTCTGAAATGCACCACCACACACCCACATGAAAACGGGAAAGAAGAGGGGGGATTACTCAGTCACTCTTAGACAATGCTTAGAAGCCATTCTGGTAAGCCGGACCTCAAGGGACACAACTGTCAGTCCTTGCTACCAAGGGAATTGAGGCAGGAGGATAGCAAGTTCCAGATCAGCCTGAGCAACAGCCTTTTTCTCTCACAGGTGGAAAGGGGGTAGAGAGATGGCTCAGTGGTTAGGAGTACTGGCTGCTCTTGAAAAGAATCTTGAGTTTGGTTTTCAGCACCCACATGGCAGTTCACGACTGCCTGTAACTCCAGTTCTGCAGGATCCAACATCGTCCTCCGGCCTCTGTGGATACCAGGCACAAAAAGAATGCACTGATGTATACATGCAGGCAAAACACCCATACACATACATTCTTTTTTTAAAAAAATTTAAATCTTAAAAAAAAATTTAATTAAAAAGGGAAGGGGATGATGGATGGAGCTCACCAGTAGAGAACTTGCTGAGGACATTCAAGGCCCTAAATTCAGTCCACATGAAAAGGAAAAATTTGTACTTTCGAGTTGACAACAGGAGACACCAATGATCTTCACTGCTCGTGAGAACTTGGTGAGCTGTGTGTTTTTCCATCTAGAGCTGACTTAAATATACAAGAGGACCTCTGTGCCATTTTATGAATGAGACGTTGGTGCTCATGGATTTGGGGGTCTACAGGAAGGAATGTGACTCCCAACAACCTTCCCTAAAACCACTCAGGCACAATCATACACTCTTTTACAGAGTCGATTTCACTGAAGATAATTTCGAGTGATTCCCACCCAGGTCTCTGAGACTCCACCCACCCCACCCCCCAAAAAGTGCATGCTCTTAAGGGCAACTTTTAAAGTGCATTGCCTCCTACAGGCAATGGGAAGCTAGAGAACGCTTGAGCGGGAGTGAGCCTGGTGGAATATCATCATTTCAGAGGTCGGAAAGTTGCCTTTCCTGTCTCACATCAATCTCTTTTATGCTGGGTTCACTGCCTCTGGTCCGGTTTCTAGGAGACAGGCAGACCTGCTCATAAAACCCCCAAGCCCGAGGAGGAGGTAATTAAGTCCATCTCAGCCGGCTCCTCCCAGGCCTTTCTTCTTAAGGACCTGTTGGCTCTGGCTTTGATCTCGGCTGCTGTGCCCTGAAGCTCCCCAGCCGCTGGAGTGTGGGAATAGCTAAGGTCTGGCACTCTTGGGACAGGAGCACCGGATGGAAGAGAGAGGGGTGCCTCAGCCTGGCCCTGTCACACACACACACACACACACACACACACACACACACACACACACGTTGTGCGTCCATCCCGTGGCAGCAGCTTCTGATGTCTGTCCGTCCTCTGGACCACCTTTGCACAGTTGAGATCCAGATTCAGTGATTTCTTGGAGGGACTCTTTGCCTCTTACTTCAACAGGTTGCGAGAGAGAGCTGGAATGGGAGTGGGGGGAGGGAGACAGACAGGGGGTGGGGGCGTGGGCAATGAAAGAGAGAGTAGAGGGGGTTGGGGAGGGAGCCAAAGCTGCTTCCTCCGTGTTGAGTCACTCTGACCCCTCCCTACCCTGTGGTCTCTCCCGTTCTCCCTCGGTTCCGAGGCAGCAGCCCTTGCCAAATGACTCACTGACGTGGGAAAGTTAATTTATTTTGGCAGACATTCCCCTAGCTCTGAGAAAGGGAGACTGCACACCTATTGCCTCAGAAGACACAAATCAGGGTGGTGACTCCCTCCCTCCCCTCCCTTCATTCATTCTCTGAATCCCGGATTGTTCCCACCCCATTAAAATTCCGCCTATTGTTTTCAGGGGAGGAGACAGAGGCTTAGCCGGGCACGCTGTGAAAGTGCCCACTCAATGACAGTGCCACACAGCTAATCGTGACGTGGCGGAGCAGTCGAGGGGGAGTGTGTCTGCCTGGCAAACCTTCCAGAGAGTCGGAGTCTGAAGCCTGGGGAGGTCGAGGTGACCTGGCCTTGTCATTTACAACTGCTATTAAGTGGCAGCAAGTCAGTAAGGCCGGGAGCCTGTGTGCCAGTCATGACCCACGTGTGGGAGGTTCTGAGAAAGAGCGAGGGGCAGGCGTGGGGCTCTGCTGGCCTCATCTCTATCCATCCATCCATCCATCCATCCATCTATCTATCCATTCATCCATCTATCCATCCATCCATCTATCTATCCATCTATCCATCCATCATCTATCTATCTATCTATCTATCTATCTATCTATCTATCTATCTATCTATCTATCTATCTATTTATCTATCTATCCATCTATCCATCCATCCATCCATCTATCTATCTATCCATCTACCCATCCATCTATCATCTGTCATCTGTCTATTATCTGTCTACCTGTCTATCTTCCTCTCCCCCTCCCTCCCTCCCTCCAGAGTATTGCCCTGCAGCTCTGGCTTTGCCTGGAGCTCACCATGTAGCCCAGGCTGGCCTTATATGTGCATCGATCCTCACACCTCAGCCTTCCCACTGCTAGGATAACAGCCCCAATATCCCAGATACTTCAGAAACTGAAGCATGAGGATCACAAGTCCAAGGCCTGTTGGGGCAACTTAGTGAGATCCTGCCCGCCAACAGAAAAGTTTTTTGTTGTTGGGTTTTTTTTTTTGTTTTTAAGTTTTGTTTGTTTTTTTAAGGGCTGGTGTAGTGCTTGCTAAGCATGTGTGGTACCCAGAATTCTGTTCTCAGTACACCAAATACACCCACTTACCTTCCCCACCCCCATGCACTGTTCTATCGTGTGTAGCCTAGGCTAGCACTGTATAGCTGATGATGACCTTGAACTTCTCATTTGCCTCTGTCTCCCAAGTTGGAATTACAGGTGTGGAGTACCAGCTCAGATTGATGTGGTGGTAGGTCTGGAACCCAGGGCTTTGTGCCTGCTAGGCAACTGGGCTGCAAAGACAATCTTAGGATGCTCCGTTATTTTAATCACATTTATTTATTCATTGATGGGGGGGGGCATTCAAATACCACAGTGCCCATACGGAGGTCAGAGGACAACTTGTGGAAGTCTGTTCTTTGCTGCCACTGTGTAGTCCAAGGAATCGAACTCTGGTCATCAGGCTTGACAGCAATCACTTTTGTTTGTTGGGCCCTCTTGCTGACCCAGGTACTCACAATCGGTGTCAAGGGCAGTGGTTTAGCTGGACACACCTAGTCCCAGACGGCAGATCCTGTGACCATGCTGTGTTCTCCCAAACACTGGGACTTCATTCTGTGATACAAACAGATACCCTACACTCCCCACCCCGCCAGAGTGTCTGAATTCTGACTAATGAAATGTGAGTGTAGGGGATGATGGATGGTTGCTTCTAGGATTCACCCTACATCTCCCAGGATCCTTTGTTGCCGTGGAGGCTCTGAGGACGGGGACACCGGGTTTACTGGGATGTTTTTACTATGGTTTGTATCTGAAATATCCCCAACGGCTGCATTTGGAAGCTTAGCAATGACTTTAGTGGCACCATTGAGGATGGTAAAAACTTTAAGAAGTG